ATGGTTGGGGAAGACAAGGAAGGGGGGAAATGAAGGCACTCTCGAAAGATCATCTGTGTACACTAAGTTCAGCGGCTCCCGCAACACCAAATGCGGTGCACGAGAGCAATACGGCACACGACTCGGTTCTGAGCAACGAGCAGTCCTAGAGGCAAGGACTGCTCGCCGGCTTAGCATGCCAACGGTCGAAGTCCGTCCCTCGAAGTAGAAAACTACGAAACTGCTTATGGGAGGCACTCGTCGGACATCTAAGGAAGTCCGTCACGCGGGTTCTCAATTCTGAGAGCCCCACTCGGACTTCAACTGCGAATGCTGTGAGAAACGGATCGTCACAACAGTCTCATCACGCGAGCATTCATGACGGAAGCGCCTGGTTTGCAAACCACGCTCAACAGATACAGTTGCGCAGGACTCGCTAGATGGGTCAGGGAAGCCCGACTTCGCCGTGCCAGCTGTCAGTAGACGCGGACAGTCCCTCACCTAAGAAGCTATCCGCCCCCACCCTCTCGTGCCCGAAGGCCCCGCTGCCACCCTCCGCTCCCCCCATATCTCGCTCTCCATCCTCGCTCTCCGTCTGGTCGGGGAGGGCGACCAGCCAGAGACGCGCGAGTGCCTCAGCGGCGCCTCCGATATCTCCTCCTCCTCCTCCTCCTCCTCCTCCTCCTCCTCCTCCTCCTCCTCCTCCTCCTCCTCCTCCTCCTCCTCCTCCTCCTCCTCCTCCTCCTCCTCCTCCTCCTCCTCCTCCTCCTCGGTGTGTGGCAGGAAACTCTTCCGTCGGCGGCGCCAGCGGTCGCGGGCGCGCGGGCCGCTGCAGGCGGGCCACGGCGGGCCGCGCCGGGAGCGGAGCGCGAGGGCAGGGGGAGGAGAAGAGGGCGGCCGCGGAGGAGGAGGAGGGAAGCAGCCCGACCGACGAGAGTCGGCGCGAGGGGGAGCGCAGGCAGCCTCGGGCACGGGGTCGGGTGTGTGTGCGCTACGTGTGGCGGGAAGCGCGCCTGCAAGGAGATGGGAGGCCTGCTCCCCAGCGCCTGCTCCCCTGCTCTGGCAGCGCAGGACAACTCCACACACGGGGAGAGCGAAGCATCGTGGAAGGCAAGCTCTCAGAAACGACTTCTGTCAACGCTCGCTCACTGGCAGAGCCTCGCGAAGGGGAATCCGAAGTTGTTGTCATCATTGCTGGCCGCAGGTCCGCTGCCATGACTTGCGGTGTGTGGTAAAGTGACACAGGGGAGGGGAGAGATGGAGAGAGTGAGAAAATTAGCCTGGCGAAGGACCCCACCATAAGCAGTGATACGTACCGCAGTCATGCGGGCGCTGCCTCTGTTGCCTCAGGTGGAGCACCATGTGGGGCCACGGAACGCGTGAGGGGTTCGCCGAAATGGGAGGATGGAACCGCAGAACGCAGCCAGCGGGGCCTTCGGTGGAGATCCCTATGGGGCCATGAAACGCGTGACGGGTGTCCCGAAATTGCGAGGTGGCGGCATGAGGGCCCTGGCACTGGGGCCTTCGGTGGAGCTCCCCACGAGGCCACGAAGCGTGTGAGGGGTGTGCCGAAATGGCGAGGTGGCGGCATGCGGGAGCTGCCACTGGGGCCTTCGGTGGAGCTCCCCATGGGGCTACGAAACGTGCGGGAGGGGTGCACCGAAATGGCGAGGTGGCGGCGGGGCCCTGCCACTGAGGCCTTCGGTGGGGCTCCCAATGGGGCCACGAAACGTGTGCAGGGTGTGCCAAAATGGCGAGGTGGCGGCATGCGGGCCCCAGCACTGGGGCCTCCGGTGGAACTCCCTATGGGGCCACGAAACGTGTGAGGGGTGTGCTGAAATGGCAAGGTGGCGGCATGCGGGCCCTGTCTCTGAGGCCTCCGGTGGAGCTCCCCACGAGGCCACGAAGCGTGTGAGGGGTGTGCCGAAATGGCGAGGAGGCGGCATGCGGGCCCTGCCACTGGGGCCTTCGGTGGAGATTCCTATGGGGCTACGAAGGGGGGCAGAGGCAGGGATGGGAGGGAGGAAAGGAGAGGAGGAGACGCGGGGCGCTGTCTCTTCAAAACGAGGACCCAACACCACAGGATGGTTGGGAAAAAGAGAGACGGAAGTGTTAACGAACAACCGCATAAACCAAGAGAAGGGGAGAATGAGGGCATTCTCGAAAAATCCCGTGCTTTGAGCTCAGTGGCTCCTGCAACACCAAATGCGGGTGCCGCCTTGGGGAGTGCACGAGAGCAATGTGGCACGTGACTCGGTTCTGAGCAACGAACGGTCCTGGAGATAAGGACTGCTCTCGCGGGCTTGGCGTGCCAACGAGCGAAGGAAACCGCGCCTCAAAATAGAAATCAATGGAACCGTTTCCTGGAGGCGCTCGTCAGACATCTAAGGAGGTCCGTCACGCGGGCTCTCAACTCTGAAAGCACTACTCGGACTTCAACTGCGAATGCTGTGAGAAACGGATCGTCACAACAGCCTCATCACGCGAGCACTCGATGCGCCTGGCTAACAAACAACAGCTTCACCGCCACAAGTAAGCAAGAATCAGAAGATGAGTTGGGGAAGCTCGACTTCACCGTGCCGGCGGTCACTGGACGCGGAGAGACCCCCACCCCCTAAAAGCTTTCCACCCGACCCTGCTGTGCACGACGACCCCTTTGCCACCACCCGTTCCCTCCTCCTCGCTCTCCATCATTGCCTCTCCGGTCAGGAAAGGCGACCAACCAGAGACACGCAAGTGTCTGAGTGACACCTCAGATATATCTTCGGCGTCGCAGGAATACGCGCCATGAAAGAACTGGGAGGCCAGCTCCCCAACGCCTGCTTCACTGCTCCCACCGTAACGCAAGGCAACTCCACACACGGTGAGCGCGAAGCACCGTAGAAGGCAAGCACTTCTGTCAACAATCGCTCACTGGCCCAACATTGTTGTCATCACTGCCGCTGGCCGCAGGTCCGCTGACATGACTTGCGGCGGGTGGCGGAACGACAAAGGGGAGGGGAGAGATGGAGAGTAAGAGCGGAAGGGGGATGAGACTGAGAGGGTGAGAGAGTGACCACTGGGACATGGAGGGGGGAATCAGGGCACTCTCGAAAGATCCCCCTGTGTGCACTAAGCTCAGCGGCTCCTCCCCCATCTTGGAGGCGGCAGGGGGGTCTGAACTGGATGGGCCCCGAGGAAGTCGGTCAAGAAGGGAGGACAAGGTAGGCACAAGGAAGAGCGACACCACCAACACCAGGGACCACCAGCGGGAAGAGCCAGGAGGGTCCCCATTGGTGGTGTCGCTCCAGACGGTCCCCATCCCCAGCTCATGGAGGCATCGTGGACCTCCTCGCTGGAGGTGGTGGTGATGTCACTGCTCCTTCCCCGACAAAGAGAAATGCGTTCAAAATCGGGCCCCGAACCCCTCCTGGTCCATCTGGTGCAGTGTTTCACCCCAAATCCACTTTTGGCATCCCCAGCGACCGAGAATGGCCCCCAGAGGCCGGGGGGAGGGGTTGTAAAAAAAATAGAACCCAGCCCCTCGAACCTCGCCACCCCTTCCTGCTCGACGGAGCCAGTGCTGGGCCACCTGTGACCCCCAGCCGACTCCAACCCTCACCCTCCTGCCCTGCCCTGTCGTTAGCGACACACCATCCAGGACCGAGTCCTGTCCAGGTCCTTCTGGATCATCACGGCTACAGGAGGATCGCACCCTCGCTGGAGAATCCTGCGCGCGCAGCGAAGCACTTCCCTCCTCAAACCGCCGTGCCGGCCAGACCGACTGACCGACCGACGGACGTCCACAAGCAGCTCAAGGAATGCATCTTCAGCCACGTCATCGTCGACGTCAGCGTCATCATCAACATCACCACCACCACCACCACCATCAGCATCATCAGAATCCTCCTCCTCATCCTCATCCTCATCATCATCCTCATCATCATCGTCATCATCGTCATCATCGTCATAATCAAAATCATCGTCATCGTCATCGTCACGATCGTCATTGTCATCGTCATCGTCGTCGTCGCCGCCGCCATCGCCATCGTCATTATCGAGGTCATCATCGTCATCATCATCATCATCATCATCATCATCATCATCATCATCATCATCATCATCATCATCATCATCATCATCATCATCATCATCATCATCATCATCATCATCATCATCATCATCATCATCATCATCATCATCATCATCATCATCATCATCATCATCATCATCATCATCATCATCATCATCATCATCATCATCATCATCATCATCATCATCATCATCATCATCATCATCATCATCATCATCATCATCATCATCATCATCATCATCATCATCATCATCATCATCATCAGCATCATCATCATCATCATCATCATCATCATCATCATCATCATCATCATCATCATCATCATCATCATCATCATCATCATCATCATCATCATCATCATCATCATCATCATCATCATCATCATCAGCATCATCATCATCATCATCAGCCCCCTACTGGTAGACGTGAACCTGGGCTTTATAGCGCTGCCTTCCAATGTAAGGGTCCCGTGGTTCTGCCTGCTGGCGGTCGGCGAACAGACTGGGCGTCCACCCACTTCCAGTCCGACGCGCCGCGGATGCGCCCCCGTCGGGCTGATGGCCCGCCTCGGCGGTCGTGCTCACCCCCACACTGGAGAGGGGGGCGTGTGACGCGCTTTGCAGGGGTGCAGGGGGTGCCCCTGGCTGCTCGTCGAGGTGCCCGCCCGCGCCGATTCGCTGGCAGGGGGCGGAGGACGAATAGGTGCGAAGGGTCTCCTCGAAACCAGCTGGAGGATGGCTTCGCTGTCCTGCTCGTCAAGGAAGGAAGTCGCGTGGGCGCGGTGGGACTTCTCAGCACCGTCTGGAGGGTGGCTTCACTGACGGGCTGGCCGTCAGATTGGCCGTCGGATTGGCCGCGGGGCTGGTCGTGGGACCGGTCGTCGGGCGAGGCCTCGGGTAAAGTGTCGGGTAGGGCATCGGGGAGGGCGTCGGGAACAGTGTCGGGCAAGGCGTCCGACTGGTCGTGGGGCTGGCCGCGGGGCTGGCCATGGGACTGGCCGTGGGGCTGGCTGTCGGGATGGCCGACGGGCTGGCCGTCGGGCTCGCCGTCGGGCTGGCCGTCGGACTGGTCGTGGGGCTGGCAGTCGGCCTGGTCGCGGGGCTGGCTGTAGGGCTGGTCGTCGGGCTGGTAGTCGGGCTGGCAGCGGGGCTGGCCGTCGGAATGGCCGTGGGGCTGGCCATGGGGCTGGCGGTCGGGCTGGTCGTGGGGCTGGTCGTGGGGCTGGCAGTCGGGCTGGCCGTGGGGCCGGTAGTCGGGCTGGCCGTGGGGCTGACAGTCGGGCTGGCCGTCGGGCTGGATATCGGGCTGGCCGAGGGGCAGGCCATCGGGCTGGCCGTGGGACCGGCCGTGGGACTGGCCGTAGGGCTGGCCGTGGGGCTGGCCGTGGGAGTAACAGTCAGGCGCGATCAGGCTGGCCGTGGGGCTGGCCGTGGGGCAGGGAGTCGGGCTGGCCGTGGGACTGGCCACGGGGCTGAAAGTCGGGATGACCGTCGGGCCGGCCGTGGGGCTGGCAATCGGGCTGGCCGTGGGGCTGGCCGTGGGGCTGGCCGTGGGGCTGGCAGTCGGGTTGGCCGTGAAGCTGGCCGCGGGGCTGGCCGTGGAGCTGGCAGTCGGGCTGACCACGGGGCTGGCCGTAGGGCTGGTCGTCGGGCTGGCCGCGGGGCTGACCGGGCTGGCCGTGGGACTGGCCGTGGGGCTGGCAGTCGGGCTGGCCGTCGGGCTGGCCGTGGGGCTGGCAATTGGGTTGGCCGTCCAGCTAGCCGTGGGGCTGGCAGTCGGGCTGGCCGTGCGGCTGGCCGTCGGGCCTTGTTGTGGGGCTGTGGGGCTGGCCATGGGACTGGCCACGGGGCTGGAAGTCGGGGTGGCTGGCAGTCGGGTTGGCCGTGGGCAGGCTGTGGGGCTGGCAGTCGGGCTGGCCGTCGGGCTGGCCGTGGGACTGGCCGCGGGGCGGGCAGTCGGGCAGGCCACAGGGCTGGCCCTCGGGCTGGCCGTGGGACTGGCCGTGGGGCAGGCCGGGCTGGCCGGGGGGCCGCCCGTAAGGCTGGCAGTCGGGCTGGCCGCGGGACTGCCCGTAGGGCTGGCAGTCGGGCTGGCCGTCGGGCGGGGCTGGCAGTCGGGCTGGCCGTCGGGCTGGCCGTCGGGCAGGCCGTGGAGCTGGCGGTCGGGCTGGCCGTGTGGCTGGCCGCGGGGCTGGAAGTCGGGTTGGCCGCGGGGCTGGCCGTGGGGCTGGCCGTGGGGCTGGCCGAGCTGGCCGTGGGACTGGCCACGGGGCTGGAAGTCGGGGTGGCCGTCGGGCTGGCCGTGGACCTGGCAGTAGGGCTGGCCACGGGGGCGGCCGTGGGGTTGGCAGGCGGGTTGGCCGTGAGGCTGCCGCGGGGCTGGGAGTCGGGCAGGCCACGGGGCTGGCCGTCGGGCTGGCCGTCCAGCTGGCCGTGGGGCTGGCCGGGCTGGCCGCAGGACTGGCCGTGGGGCTGGCAGTCGGGCTGGCCGTCCGGCTGGTCGTGGAGCTGGCAGTCGGGTTGGCCGTGGGGCCGGCCGTGGGACTGGCAGTCGGGCTGGCCGTAGGGCTGGCCGTGGAGCCGGCCGCGGGGCTAGCAGTCGGGCTGACCACGGGGCGGGCCAACGGGCTGGCCGTCAGGCGGGCCGCGGGGCCGGCAGGCCGTGGGGCTGGTCGTCGGGCCGGCTGCGGGGCTGGCAGTCGGGCAGGCCGCGGGGCTTGCAGTCGGGCTGGCCGCGGGTCTGGCCGTCGGGCTCGCCGTGGGGCGGGCCGCGGGGCAGGCCGCGCGCCGCCGCGGTGGCGCAGGCCATCGCGCCCTCCGCCGCCGCCGCCGCTGGCGAGGAGCCGGCAGCTGCAGCGGCAGCGGCAGCAGCGGCGGCGGCGGAAACGGCGGCCAGCCCAGCCCCAGACAGGCCGGGGCCAGCGCCAGGGCGGCCGCGGCGCCAGCACCGGCGGCCGCCGCCGCCAGCCCACGCGAGGAGGCCACGGCGGCGGCCGCGGCGGCGGCCGCGGCGGCGACCGCGGCGAGCAGGGAGGGGGCAGCAGCAGCGGGGGCGCGCGGGGCCGCCAGCCGGCGAGCCGGCGCCGACGGCACCGGCACCAGCACCGTGCTGGGGCGGCCGCCGGCCGCCTCCGACGGCAGCGGCGGCGAAGGCGACGGCGGCGGAGGGCCGCCAAACCCCAGCGGGGCGTCCCGCCGCGACGCCGCCAGCCGCTGACGGCGGCGCAGCGCGGCCCCGGAGAGGGCCGCCCCGGGGGCGGACATGGCCCCGGCCCGAGCGCGCACCTGAGCAAGGGGCGGGCTTGAGCCGAGACGGCTTGGGCCAAAGGGTTTGAGCCAAAGGCTACGGGGCTGGTGGGGATATTTTTTAATCAGCGGCCGCGGGCGAACGCGCCGGCGGCGAGTCTGGTCAAAGCGGGCCACGCAGAGACGGATTAGGCAGAGGGAACGCGGGAAAAATAGAACAGAGCAACGCGCGAGGCGACGGCTAAGCGCGGCCGACGCCTCAGGTGGGTGGCTGGGGGGACTGAGACTGAGGGGAACTGCCAGCGCGCAAAGCTGCAATTCCGTCGGAGGCGCCAAACGTCGGAAAGTCAACGACGGCCAGGGACAACTCCGAGAGAGAAAAGGCGATACCGTACCTCAGACGACTGCGTGGGCACCAGGGTGGCCGTGGCCGACGAAAGGTCGGTCGAGGTAGGAAAGAGAAATGCAAAAGCGATGCCCCGGACGTCGGCGAAGCGCGAGAACCAGGGTGGTCCAAAGGACCGTCGGCCTAGGAATTGTCGCCAGGAGGCGAGAGCGTTGGCAGGATGCAACTCCCAGGGTGGCGGAAGCCGAGAGACCCCTAGGCAGCAGTACGCACGAGTGCGGGGAAGCGGCATGGCCGCGACGCGGCCAAAATGGCGCGGGTCACCACGTACCAATGCGAAAGAGGGTGTCAGGTTGAGCTGGTGTCAACAATGTCATGTTTTTTCCGCATCCCCAGGTCCAGCACCGCCTGCAGGAAGGAAAGGAACCATCACAACGCCGACAGAAGCCGCAGCGTGATTGTTGACCCCCCACTGTACCGCTCGCTGCCTTGGCTTTGCGTAGTCTACTGTGTGAGACTAGCCTGGGCTGCTCTAGAGGCCGCGTCCAGAGCAATGGCCTGAGGACGGAAAACTGCGCACGCCAACCCCAGGGAAGTACCATGGTCCACCAGAGGTTCGTAACGCGCTGCCCGTCGATGCGGCAACCAAGTTCAGTGGCCATGCCGAAGTCCACTTTGAATCGCCACTGGCCTTGCATGTTTTCCTCGCATCGACCCGTCTGTCACTGCAGCAAGTTGGCGCGAAGCAAACATCTCTCGGACGAAGGAGCGCTCTGGTTGACAAAGGGAGGGTTTGCCCCGACTCATGCGGCAATTGCTTGTGCATTTGTCTTTGTACACCGACTTTGAAGGGGCACCCCGCTCACTGCGGCAGGGGCCTGCGAGGGTGACAGCAGCGATGGCGCGGCGGCTGCGACGAGGCGGAGGCGGCGGCGGCGGCAGCGGTGGCAGCAGCACGAGCGCCGCGGCGGCAGCGGCGGTGTGGAGGGGCTGGTGGCCACACGACTGAGCTATCTGAGCCGGGCGAGTTGAGAGCAGCCCAGAACTGGTCCCAGAACCCCTCCCGCACCAGCTCTCCGAGCTGCGTCCAGCCGTGGCGGCGAGGAGGACCCCCGCAGGCCAACTACGGTTGTCTCAATTCGCCCTCCTCTGAGGCTAGCCGCCATCTACGTCATCGCAGATCGCTCGACAGGGACAGCGGGGCGGAGCGGAGCGCGCCTGCGTCCGCCCGGGGCGGGGGGGGGGCTTGGAGCCGGCGCGGACAGGGCCGGCGCTCTGGCTGGCCGTGGTCAGAGCCGAGGGGCGGCGTTGGTGCTGGGTGCTGTGGCGTGGGAGTGATGGGATGGTGTATGGGCGCGGGGGGGGCGGGGACCTTGAGACGAGGGCGCCGCAACTTTTTCACACCGGGCGTCGTCGCCCAGTGTCGGGCCCCAGGACTGTCACAGATCGGTGGGGCTCGAAAAGTGAAGCGGACAAAGATGGGGTCCAGAGCGCCGGTCGTAATTACTCATGCTGTTGCAATGTTCGCATCGTCGGACTCCGTCGCGCAAGGACAGGGTCTGCTATCGCCCCCTTCTCCGCCTCAAGCACATCCTCCTCCACGTGCCTGGCCGCTAATTTCATCCTCACTGGGTAAGTCAGACCGTCGGACTGGCGTTAAGCCCGCGCTCCGACAGGCCTCGAGGACCTTGCGAGAAGGCCGAAGCACCCCAAAGGGTTTCGCACGCGGGGGTATGGAGGGCAGTCGGAGCTTCAGGCTCGGCTTCGGGCGAAGCACTTCCGCAGCGTTTGCAGACCGAGCCTGCTTCCTTAGCCTTTCCTGAGGGGTAACGTTAGGGGGGACCAGCTCAGGGGGCTCAAACATCGACATGGAATCGCCGATACATCGCCGATAGATCGCGATGGGCCCCCGATTGCGAATCCGCACGTTTCTGGGCGGGGTGGGGCTCTCAGGCCCCCATCGGCGATGATCAGGCCCCGTCGGCGATGAGGGGGCGATTGGGGCTCGAGGCATCCCCCTCTGTGCCTATCCCGCCCCACCGTTGCCCCCCGCTCTCCTCTCCAGGGGTGCTCCTCCTGCCCCCTCCGCCCTCCCATGGTGGTGCAGGCGCGGGACGAGCGGCCGGGGCTCGTGGGGTGTGGCTCCTCTCGTAAGCCCCAGGCTTGTAGATGCTGCTCCACCCCGTGATCGTGCGCCAGACCTGCCAGCGATACCTGGGGGCGCTCGGCACCGCGTCCCGATCCCGCTCCGGCGGGGGCGACATGGCGTCCTCGAGAGGGCGAGCCCGTGCCAGGACTTCCTGTTCCGCCCCCACCTCACCAATCAACCTCCTCCACCTCCTCCTCCTCACCCTCGCC